GTCTACCTTTCAAGAAACGCTTCAAGGCCCCAGGGCCACCACACAGCAGGACCTGTGCTGGGCGTTGGGGGAGAGCAAGAGCAAAGGAGGGAGAGAGACAGAGACAGAGACAGCAAGCGGGAGTGTGACAGAAAGACAGAGGCAGGAAGGGAGGGAGTGAGAGGGAGGGAGAGGCCAAAACTCAGGCCCACAGGAGAGACCAAAGTCAGGTCCCACCCTCCCCCAGTGGCAGCTGTGTGGGAGGGGCAGGAGGTATGAGGGCCCCCATCTCTGACATTTTGTGCCAGCACTGCCCTCTACACACAAACTCAGGAACCATCGAGATCCATTTTGCAGGAGACAATGCTAGGCCCATGGCCAGTGGCAGGGGCAGAAGTGGGGCTGCAGCTCACCAGGGGGTATCATGGCCAAGGCCGTGGCCTCACCACCATCCTCCCTGACTGGTCCTCACCACCTGCCCCCAGGTGACACTTCCACGGACGACCTCTGCCCTGTGGACTCCAGGGCTTCCTGACCCCTGGGGAGAGTGGCAAAGCCTGTGGAAGCCAGAGTGCTATGGGCTGGGAGACACCAGGGAGACCAAGTCATCTGTATCATCACTGTGGATGCAGCTGGGCAGTGCTGCCCCCCCAGCCACAAGACACCACAGGGCCTGAGACCAGCCCCGGGCAGGTGGGCTCCCAGAGATGGGGTCCCTGGTCCAAACCACCCCAGCTACTCCCTCACCAGGCCAGCAAGGTGGCTGGGGTCTAGGGACTAGCTCATCCCTAAGAGTGAGGCTGCGGTGATGTGGGCAGCTCTGGCGCCACCTGTCCCAGGGGGAGAAACACAGCTGTGGCTGTCGGGGAGGCGGCTGTGGCCACCAGCCATGACTGCTGCTGTTTGGCAGAGAAGCCAGGTGTCCCGGCTCTGCTTTAAGGAGACCCAGTCCATCGGGGATGTCTGTACATCTGCCCGACCCCACTGTGCACCTGGTCCAGGTTAGGAGAGATGCCCACGAGACCACGGCTGGCCTCAGCACAGTGAAGGCTGCCCTGGCCCTTTGGGGTGTCTTGGACGAGCCTGGCATTCTCTTTTGGGTAGCTCTCACTCTCTCAAAGCACGAAAACACTAAGAACATGCCAAACACGTGCTGTATCCAAAGGGAAGGCATGGTAGCTCTTGGGGTGGGGGTACGGGGGACACAGAACCAAGCCCCTGAAGAACGCCTGACACCCAAGCCGGAGTTGCAGCTCACAGCCTCCAGCCCCATTCATCCATGCTGCCTGCCCCTGGCCACGGACACCCACAGGCCCTGAGGCCTGAGATGCCACCACCCCCTAGTCAGAGGCTCAGCTCACAGCCTGCACCCCACGACCTGTACCAACAAAATGTGCAGGTAGCAGGAACCAGCCTCTTTCCCTGACCCTGTCATCAGGGATGCAGCAGGGAGGGAGCTCCAGGGACAGGCACACCCAGCACAATGACAGGGTGAGCATCTCATGCCCTCCTAGTGGGCCAGCCACAGAGACACCCTCTCATCAGCTGCCCTATAGAGAACCACAGCCAAAAGCCTGCACTGCCCGGTGACTTCATGATTCAATGGCTACTTCAGGATAGAAGAAAATAGCAAATCAAAACTTCAGTTTTTCCTTCCTTATTTACAACTCAGGACAAGACTGCCTGTGAGAGCATCAGACTCAACCTGATACAGGCTGCAGAGTGGTGACTGTTCTGGAGAGCCCACCCCTCTCCAGCCCACACACGCTCACCTGGCCCCCACCAGCCCACACAAGCTCACATGAGTCCCCCCTCCACAGCCACACACACTCACCTGAGCCTCCCCCCAGCCCACACAGGCTAACCTGGGCCACTCCTTCTAGCCCACACACACTCACCTGAGGATCACCAACACTAGTGTCAGCAGCCCCCAGGCCCTCACCTGCCTGAGCCCAGCCTCCACCTCGGGACATAAACACCCTCTGGTCCTGACACGCCTGACACGCCCTGCTCCAAAAGTCTCCAAACTTCCCAAGCCCCAGAATTCCTCAGAGGTGGAGAGCATGCCTGGCCCCCCATCCAGGGCAGGTAGTTCCCAGGGCCAAGCCGTCACCTGAGAAGGGGAGGATGGGGACAGGGACCACCAGGAGTCACAGCTCCTCCCCAGCCTCCTGCCCAACAAGGCCACAGGCACATCCAAGGCCAGCATTGACGAAACAGATGTTCCCTCTTCAACCAGCCTGAGGCAGGTCGGGAGGCACCAGCATCTGCACCAGATCCATCCGGGGTTCAGGAAATGACATAACCCAGGCCAGGCTCTGAGCCGCCCATCCGTCCTCCTCTCACACCTGACCATGCCGGCATATTTACGATGTCTTCTCAATCTTTGAAAAATATTTCTAAGATGACATGAGAGCAAATTGATATTCTAGTGGACTAAGGAAGTCAGCTAGCTGCAAAACGGATACAGTAAGATGCCAAGTAGGAGAAATCAGCATGGGGAAGGAAACGGCATTCCACAGTGGGAGACTGACACTCACAGCGCCCTGCGCCCGCCCTGGGCTGAGCAGTCTGCAGTCCTGGCCCTGCAAAGCTGCCATTCCAGCAGGGCCACGAGGGAAGGGGCAGTTACTAAGTGGGTGGAAGAGGAGGCAGGTGCTGGCATCACAGAGCACCACATGGCCACCCCCAGCGCCTGTTCTGATGAACTTTCAATAATGCATAGAAACGTACGGTGCAATGTTTCCTGTGAGTTTACAGATGTGTATTTAATATTGATATATGTGCACACCATGCATCTCCATGGTGCAAAATAAGAATACAGAGAAACTGATCAAAAGAAAGACGCCAATGTGGTCAGCTCTCAGTGGAAATGAGTTCTCATTCTTGAAAACTTAAAATTAGCTTTTCCAAGACATCTACAAAGCAACAGAAATGCCTAAAAACTTAACAGCATCTGAGTTTATTACAAATAAAAACGTTAGGTCTAATTTCTGTTTTCCCAACAATTTCTTCGCTCATACTAAACACTGACAGAGGCAACTCATTACGTGTAATAATGGCAACTTTTCCTAATTAAGTTTAAATGTAAAAGAGCTTTGTGACTAAATGTCCACTTTTCTTATTGTAGCTGTAGACACTCACACACGAGTCCCACCAAGACCACGATTCCTACTCCACAGCATAAGGCCTGGCGCTGGGAGGGGCTCAGGTTCTGTCTGCTGAGCTGATCACCACCATTATCTTATTGTTTTTGGTTTAACCCTGAAACAGATGGGTGCAAACTGTGACACACAGTACAAAACCACCTGTCCATCCTCCAGGCACATGGAAGGCTTGGCCCACAGAGACCAAACTATACGCTGCATCCCTTTTAGAAAGCTCTGCCTATGCTTAAAATGAAAAGACTTACAAGGAAACTATTTTTCTGTGTTTTAAAATGTTCTTAATTATAAAGAAATAGATATTCATTCTAGCCAGTTAAGTCTCCAGGTAGAACGTTAATGGTTACCTCCCTCAGTCAGCCCCACCCAGAGCCACAGCCGGCGAGGACGGCTGGTGTGCATGGCTACACCTTCTTTCTCTTCCACCACATGGCCACACCTGGATCAGATGCGCCAGCATTTCAACGTGGTGGTCTCCTTCCAGCCACAGTCTGTGGATGGCGTTCAGCCCCCAGCTTTGACCCTGGGCACCCTGACCCTTGAGGGGGACAGGCCCGTGTGTCCCGCCTTGGTGTCCTGGTCCTCAGGGGGGCATGTGTCACAGGGGACAGGCTTGTCCCGCCTTCATGTCCTGACCCTCGAGGGGGATGGGTCTGTGTGTCCCTCCTTTGTGACCTGATCCTCAAGGGGGACATGGCCCATGTGTCCAGCCTTCGTGTCCTGACCCTGGTGGAGGACGTGGCCTGTGTGTCCCGCCTTTGTGCAGCCTGGCACCATGGTTCTGATTTTCCCACAATGGAGGTCTGCTTCTGAAGGGCTGCACCTGCTCCCACAGGGGAGGCTGTCTGCTCACCCAGGTGCTTGCCCTGTCTGAGGCCTGGGCTTTTCCCACCCAGGGCTGGGGGCCGGCCCATCCCTCATGACCCAGGCAAGTGGCCAGGCCTCCCTGGAACTACGGGCTGCTGTGGGTGTCTGCTCTGCTCCGGGTGAGGCTCTAGAAGGTTCCCGTGGAAGCGACTGCATCTGGGAAACCCGTTCCCCTGTTTCAAGGATGACCCTACCATGGCTACCCACATGCCCAGTCCTCTCAGGAAGTTCCAGGCCACCAGGAGAGCAGAAGCAGAAGCCACTGTCCTTCAGCAGGGCCCTGAAAAGCAGGATGAATCAGCGGGACCATTCAGAACAAGGCTCAAATTACTGCTGCACTTTTCAGAATGGAGCCAGGCTCAGCATTTCAAAACCAGAGGCTGACGTGGACCAGCTTGCACTTGGCTGGGACCTGAGCCAGCCCCTGAGTGCCACGCCCCACAGTCGCATCATCCCACGCCCCTCATCCTGCGCCGGTCACCCAGCTTCCGTCACCCCACCCCCGTCACCCTGTGGCCCTCACCCTGCATCCCTCACCCTGCCTCTGTCACCCCGCCCTCCATCACCCCACCGTCCATCAAAACATGCCCATCACCCTGCCCTCCATCAGCCCACACCCATCACCCCACACTTGTTACCCTGCCCATAAAAATGTGCCCATCACCCTGAGCCCTTCACTCTGCGCCCATCATCCCACCCCCATCACCCCACCGTCCATGAAAACATGCCCACCACCCTGCTCTCCATCACCCCACCCCCATCACCCTGCCCATCACCCCGCACCCGTCACCCCACACCTGTCACCCTGCCCGTCAAAACATGCCCATCGCCCTGAGCCCTTCACCCTGTGCCCATCATCCTGCACCTGTCACCTGTACCAGTCACCCCCCACCCATCACCCTGCCCCCCCGTCATCCCTCCACCGTCAAAATGCACCCGTCTCCCTGCACCGCTCACCCTACCCTCATCACCCCAAGGCCCTCACCCCACCTCCCATCACTGAGGTGCTGTTTTCTTGGCGCCAGACCAGGTGGGATTCACACCTCGTGTGCACAGCTTCTGAGTGACCGTCAGTCACACTTGGCGGCTGCACGTGGCCTCACTTGGGAGCGGGACTGCAGAGCGCGTGGCAATGACACAGCCCTCCACTTGTTCTCCGGGAGTTCTGATACCTGGAGGACATTCAGACCCAGTGTCTGGGTCCCGGCCCTTCCATAACAACATGGCTCCTCTTCAGTCACAAGGAAGATCCAACTTCGCACGGAGAGGTTTTCCGGAGCAGCAGAACCGGCAGCAGCAACGCCGGCGCCTCAGTTCAGTCTCGGCACGCAGAGCTCCGGTGGCGAGCCAGGAGGGTGGCAGCAGGGCCCCCAGGTCTCTGTCACAGCAAGGCTCTCCACTTGGCCACCTCCACCTGTTTACAACCTCAAGCCAGCCAAAATCCCAGGGGAACCCAGAGGGAGCGTTTCTCCCCAGCTGTATTCCCTAGGCTGGAGGGCAGGAGCAGAGCCCTGGCCTGACAACCACACGGCCACATTCTTAGGGCCCCGGCTTCATGACAGTCACAGACATTCAGTTTGCTTGGTTTTCAGCCCACGTCTCTGGCACCAGGGCCTTGCTTGGCACCTACGTGGGCAGCGACCACATGAAGCCCGTCTCGGGAAAAGTGTTGTGTAAGTAGCAGGGACTCTTTAAAGGCACTGAGTCCTTTTCTTCATCTCTTTTTATCTCTAACTCAGCCACCTTGCTCGGCGTGGTCCCCCAGTCCAAACCCTTGGCCCTGTTCACAGCCTGCTCTTGCTCGAGCATCTCAGAGCTACACTCCAACCCACACCCCCTGCCTTTTACCAAATCCCAAGCCAGTGCAGCTGCAGAATAAAGTGGGAAAAGCACCGCCGTGTACTCAGCACCTGCCGTGGGCTGCACACGCTCACACAGGGCCCTCTCTAATCTGCTTCCACACACATCAGCCATGAGGGTGGCCGAGCGGAGAAAAACGTAGCCGAGCTGTTTTCTCTCAAAGGAACGTACACGTCAAAGCAGAACTGGAGCCCAGCACTGTCTATCTGACAAACTCAACCTCCTTCTGCTCCACCACGACTGTGCACACCCGGAGACCAGGCCCTTAGGCCTCCAAATGCTGCAGTAGCCTCCCACGGCTTCCAGAGGGACGCTGCCAGAGGCAGGGCTGGCGCAGGGCCCAGAGGCAGGGGACTGGGTAGGTCTCTTTGACCAGGGGTGGTGTCGCAGCAGCATGAGGCTTGGCATCGTGGCGGTCTATCTCTGAGACCCGGGCAGCCCACAGTGCTCCCTGGGGTACGACTGCTCAGTGAACGTCCCGTCTCCGAAGCCACCCACAGGTGCTGCTGCAACCACAGCCAGAGGCCAGGCCCCTCCCCCTCACAGAAACCTGACCAGTCACACGTGGCTACAGCCTGCATGGTTAAGAGAAAAATTACTCCTTCTATAACCAGAAAAAAAATAGTGAATCAACAGAAACAGAAATGCTCAGAATGAAACACAAAAAATCAAAGTCAGTGGGACAGAATTCAGCAGTGTCCAGGAGGGCCTGGAACCTGGATCCCTGCACTGGGTCCACAGGCCCGGCCAGCCAGGACCAGGGAGAGACAGACGTCGGCCCCTGACCAAACCCTGTGCTGCAATGCCTGTAAGGTAGATTTTACATAATTTTACAGTTGCTAAGAGCAGAACGTTTCATTCATGTGAACACTATGTACAACTCAAATCTCAGTGTCTGAGTTGAGGTGAAATGGACACAGTCTCTCAGCACTGTGCCTGTGGCCGCTCCCCTGCTCAGGGCACAGCTGCGTGACCCCCTGGCCCTACGCAGACAGGTTCTGTGCACTCGCCCTCTACCTTCCTCGAAGGACTCCTCAGGAAAGCAGCAGGCAGCTGTGGCCCAGCAAGAGCCTGGCAAAGCACTTCCCTCCCAGAGCCCCGTTTCCTCATCCACAAGATAAACACAACAAGCCTCCCTCCCCCGGCTGCTATGAGGACCGACAGCCCCTCCTGGCACCTGCACCGTGGGCGTGACACGAATCGCATGTCACAGCCGCCTTCTCCGGCTCAGCCTCCCACATCCCCAGGGGGCCGGGACCAGAGCCTCACAGCACCAGGACACACCCATCCGGACACCGGCAAGCTCCCACCACAGATGGTGCTGGTTTGGGGAATGAGAATCCTCCTGAGAGAGCCGAAGTGTCCCAGGTGTTGGGCAGTTGAGGGAGGGTCTGGGCCTGGGCCCCCTTCGGGAGCTGAGCCATGCTCGGGCCATGAAGGACATTGCTGGAGGCCTGTTATAATCCAGGGCTGCTAGAGGTAAAAAAAACTAAAACCGCAACGTGGAACGCACACCGCCGGCCACATGCAAGCTGCAGGCTGAGTTCTAACGGGCTGCGGTTTCTAGGAGGGAGGGAAGCCTCACTTCCCGCACCACACAGCCCAGCCTCCCCACGTCCGCTGACCGCCTTGGCATTTCACAAGTATGTCCATGGCCATCGCTTTTTCTCCAAAGCAGCCTCCAGCTACACAAGCTGTTCAGAAAACCTCACGTGTAAGAGCAGAGTATGTAAAACCTCCATCTGTGCTCGGGAATTAGGACACCCCTGGCTGCAATCTGACCATCAAATCCTGTGTCTCGGTTGGGGTTGGGGCCATCAACTTAAAATAGCTTCTGTTTATACTGGTGAAGGAGGCACAGATGTTGCCCTAATTCCGAGGAACAGGTGAGGGCGGGAGCTGTAGCAAAGAGGCAAAAGCAAAGGTAGATTCGCCCCTTTGTGCAGCCCCGTAAGTGACCTCGTCCCTCCTCTCCCTGGAAACAGCGGCTCCCAGGCACCCGCTCTAGCACCCAGGACCAGGGCTCACCAGGCTGTTTTAATCAGATGGATTTAGTGATAGCAAATGAAGAGAAGGAGAACACCACCCTCGGCCAGGCTATTGTGAGTTGGTGTTACCAAAAAATGGCATTGGCAGGGCACCGGGCTTGGCCAGCTCCAGGCAGCCCTGTGTCTTCTCATCAATCCCCGGAGTCTTCCAGGACACCCAGGGCAGCTGGAACCCGGCCAGGCGGGAGGATTTCCACCATGAGAAAGTCAGGGCCCTCCCGGAGGAGCAGAAGCTCTGCAGGTGACTGTTTGGGAAGCCGGTCTGGTCCTGATACTCCACAGGAAGAGAACTGCACTCCTTAGACCAGGGTTTCCCAGGTGTCAGCTGGACGGGTACCCTCTGCAGGGCCCATGGAAACAGAGATGGCCAGCCCCACCCAAGATTTACTAGCTCCATAGGTGTAGGGGAGAGCCTGCTGGATGCACTCCACATACATTCCCAGGGGACGCAGATGCTGCAGGTGTGGGGACCCCACCTGGAGAGCCCGGGTTAAGGCTTGGGAACTGGAGGATGGGCTGGGGACGCCAGCTCCCCCTGCTTGCTCTGGCCACACATACTCAGGCCTCTGTGGCCAGCCTGCTCCTCCTCTCCCATGGCCAAGGTGCCCCGACTGCCAGCATCCACTCCCCATGGGGCAACAGGGAACACCAACATCCCAGGCAGAGGCACCCACTGTGGGTTCACCTCTCAGTTCAAAGGGTTTCCAAGAGAATTCTCAGCAAAAAGCAACATTCCCCCTTCAGAGAGTGGATCAGAGCCCAGCAGGAGACTGGGAAGGTGCTTAGCTCAGGAGGGCTGGAGGGTGGGGCTGAGAGGCACTAAGGCCCCTGGGCCTCAGAGGGAGGCCCAGCCCATCCCAGCAGAGGCAGAGCAGGAGTGGAGCAGAGCCCTGCCATGCTCAGGAAGGGGCAGGAGCTGGAGGGTGGGGATGACCCTAAGGGGACACACACCGGCTGCAGAGCCCAGCGGCTGCTGCCCTCCAGGGCCGCTTCCACGGTGAGGCTTTTCTGAATGTAAGTTTGTCTGCTCAGCCACATCAGCCTCCTCCTGGCATGTCGTCTCTCACAGAGCACCTCCTTCCGTCGAGACCCGGGGCCTCCAGACAGCTCCTCCTGACAGGGCCTAGCCCTCGGGCAGACGCACCTATGGCTTGAGCTCAGCACAGCAGCACAGTGGCTGGCAGGGAACAAAAGGAAAACTGGAGAAATGCATCTAAAATGTCGAGCAGACTGCTCCGTTGCTTTGGAAGAACCACATTGCTTTTGACTAACTTCTTAAAAAGAGAAAAAGATGCCAGTGAGAAAACCAGAGGGGACAAATGCTACCCAGGACTGTAAAACAGCTGCCATCAGAGATCAGTGGCTCACACCAGGCCCTTCAGTCCACCCCACTGTGGCGAGCGCCTGCGATGTCCACGCAGAGGACGGAGACCAGCCCTGTCCTCAGCACGGCCACGGGCCATGTTAGAAAGGCAACTTCAATTCCACTATGGAGCGCAAAGCGCATTTCCTCCTGTTACACGCTAACTTTCTGCTCTGGGCTTCCTAGGGTTTCCTTCATTAGACTTGAGTCCAGAATCCTCTGGAAAGATCTCTGGGATATCTTGGCCTTGCAGGCGAGGGGTGAAGGAACGGGGATACGGTCAGACGGAGGGAGATGAATTAATCTGCAAATGCTCCTTGCACATGTCCTAGCTCTGTCCGTCACAGTGAGGTCCGGCCACAACAGCTGCCCGTTCACTCGCTAAATGGTGCAAAATGGGCCCAGACCCTCATTTTACCTTTAAATAAATAACAGCATATTCTTGTCTGCTTTTTAAACCACACAGGCCAAAAGGAGTTGAGCACGATCATGTATTTAATTGACTTCTAAAAGCAGCTTGTTTTCCTTCATCCTTCGCCGACCTTGGTTTATGGGTATCCCTTAATAAAATGTGGGCAGGGTTTCAGCATGAACCCGTGGGCAGGTTAAACACTCCCTCCAAAACAGCCTGTTCTCATGTGCAGGGACAGGGCAGAGTCGTGACTGACAAGGGAAAGACCTATAACTCCCAACTCTGGAAACGAGGGGTGTGCTAAGCTGGGAAATTCTCCAGCATGACCCCCAGCTGTGGGCAAAAGCACCCCCAATCCCAGCCCCAGCCCCAGTTGTGGGCAGCTGCAGGTCCCAGCAGGAGGAGATTCCCACAGAGAGGCAGCTGAAAGAGGCACAGGGCCAGGTCCGGCCATGTAAAAATACTTCGAACACACGGAGGCTTTGCTTGTGGTGTCAGCGGCGGCTTCCATTTACGTCCAGCAGCGACGCATTTAGGACCTCGTGCCACCGTGCGGGAGCTGTTTTCCCCCAGCATCTCCCGGCTGGGGTGGTTGGTGAGCACGTGAGTTCAGCAAGTGAACACAACACCGTGGTGACGGGGAGGCAGGACGGTCACGCCCGCAGCCTGGGAGAGACCACACAGCCACGAAACACAAAGCTTGTGTAAGTGCCGGGCACATGGGGAGGCGCCTGCCTGCCTGAAGGCTGGTCACAGGACGGCTTCCCACATTACGAAATGATTAACTGATTCATTAATACCACTTCCTGTCACAAGAGACTGAGCCCTAGAGATAAAGCCATCAGAACAACAGCACAGACCTCGAAACAGCTGGGTCATTTCCACTGCCCTCTGCAGTCCACGGGACACCCAGGGCATCTGGGTCATTTCCACTGTCCTACAGTTGCACATGTGTGGGTGAGCACGTGTGTGCACGTGTGTGGGTGTGCACGTGCGTGGTGAGATGTGTGGGGTGCACTGTGAGTATGCATATGTTTAAGGGGTGCGTGCACACGCACCTGTCTGCATATGTGGATACTGCTGTGCGCACACGTGCACACCCAAGTGTCTGTCCGTGAGCACGCAGGAACAGCCGGTTAGAAGTGCCTCACTCTTCCTGAGCACAATGGTAGCTCCCCTGTCCAAGGAGCCTACATATTCTTATTGTTATTCTCATGAATACATGACCGTGCTGATGGCTCTGTCTTATTTATCCCTTAGTCTATAATAACTTGGAATGCACACCTAGTAAGTCCCTTATATCCTGTGAGTCCTGGTTCATGGCTTCTGATGGCTGCGGCTGGCTCCCAGGAGCTCTAGGGTGACAAACTCAGGTCCACCCCCACCTATGTGATTCAGACCCCCCAGCCAAGTCCCTGTGGGAGGATTTTCAGTGGGTGGCGAAGCTTCTGAAAAATAACTTGACTCTAACTAATATTTGTAATTAACACATCAAGTAAAACTAAAAGTTCTTGCCATTGCCTTTTGGTGGGTGCCCTTAAAAAGTCATCTATCTCACACTGACTCTATCACATCCCAACTCCAGCCCCAAATCCTAACAAATACACCAGTTAAGAATGCACAGCACATTTTTACAAGCCTCACAATTCTCTGATTAGATGCACACAGACATTCCCTAAAT